CCCGCAACCCTCAACCCAAAACCGTTTACCGACGCCCTTACGTAACCCGTAAATCGTGAACTCTAAACCCTGTCTGCCGGGTTTTAGTTTGTAGCGTGCATGATGTCTAGAGTCTAGGTTGTCAACATCTAGGGCTTTAGGGCTTTGACCCTCGCTCCAAAACCTGAACCAGGGGCCACATGTCTGGGTGGGTTTCATATAGTGAGAGTGTGCATGCATGTATGTATGTATGTATTATGTACATACCAGGGAACTCAAACGAGCTGAGAATTGTTTATATCGAGCCCCATGTTCTGTTACACCACCAGCAATAAAAGGATACGTGTTATGCGGCCCACTTAATGGCACCGCTCATGTGCATAAGCCTCCACCGGCCTTACCCCAAGGGCCAAACACTCAAATTTAGGCGTTCCTGGCCAGGCTACGGTTGAAGATGTAGGGACGAAGATCTAGGAATCTAGGGGCTTCAACCACCGAGTTTTGTCAGTGTGCTAGGACAAAATTACTCTTGTGCAAGGCCTTAAACCTGAAACCCTAATAAGAACGCGATCCCGAAAAAACTCGCGGCGGCGGCATCAGTGGCGCTGGCTGACACTTTTCTCATCATCGAGTGGGTGCAAAAGATGAGTCGCGCATCCGGGAAAGTCAGCACAGGCTGGGCATGTAATGTAGGAACCTGATCAAGAAACCCTGGGCCTGTAACCCCAAAATATTAGGGTTCATATGAGGAACCCGAATAAAGGCCCAAGGTTTCTGAATCAGGTTCCTACATTACACCTTGTGTTTTGGTGTGCTCCGGTAGCTGCTTGGGCTGCTCGTCTCCGGAACTCAATCAAGAAACCCCGAGTACCTACCATTAAATGGATCCTGAAACTGAGGCTGCTCCTACTTAAAGGATCAGGGGACTTAGTAAGTAGGTTATAACTGGGGTTATTAGTCCCCTAACTGGGGTTACCCTAATTATAACCTACTTATAACTTATAACCTTACTTACTAAGTCCCATGAGCCTTTAAGTATTCGTGTTCTATTTTAGGGTCTCAAACTCTGAAACTCCCAAACCTCTACACCCAAGCCTCGCGTCAATCGAGAAGACCGAAAACATGGGTCGGAATGATGGTAGTTACAGCACCCAGGTGGTCCCCATGCAAGTATAACCGTATACAGTAGAAGCCAGAAAGTTGGAATATCAGTATCGTAACCCCTTGAAGCTAAATTATAGGGGATGCTACCATTAATCCATATTCCAATTTTCTGGAGTTCCCTTTATAGTCAACAGTATTGAAGCCCCTATACAAGCCCTTCACACAAAAACCTGAAACCCGTGTAGCAGGTAAACTCCGCAGGAAGCTTGGGTAAAAGCACCAAGTCTGATAATCCTGATTTCAGAAACCTTATAAAACCATACAAGACTCCTGAAGGAACCCCAAGGCACCTATGTTATAGAAACTTTATAGAACCCTTACAGAACCTTCAACCGCCTATCGAACCCCATACAAACCAAGTAAGTGATAGAAACCCCCATTCTGGTTCACGAGGCTGCTCCCACCTCGCGTGTGGTCGTGCCGGAGGGCTCTGCATGTGCAGTGACGTCTGGAGGAAGGACAGCGACCTTTGTTGGGGTCTAGCAACCCTAAACCCTAAACCCTAAACCCTAAACCCTAAACCCTAAACCCTAAACCCTAAACCCTAAACCCTAAACCCTAAACCCTAAACCCTAATTAGGGTTCAGAGGGCTTAGGGCTTACAAGGTTTGAGGATTGGGGTTCGCGTTGCGGGTCATGTAGTCTAGCCTCGGTAATGCTTGCGTACCGCAGAGCCCGATGGTTGCAACTTCGGCTGGCGGTATGGTTAGGGATTAGGCTTGGATATTTACGCAGTCTAGGTTTCCGCTTATTGAGGTTTCTTGGGTTCAGGGTATGGCGTCGAGTGCTCAGGGCTCAAAGTTTACGATTGTAACGTAATGTTAGGTAAAGACATGTACTGTGAGCTTAACTAACGTAATAGACCGCAATGTAGGTGAATGCATGATGTACGCAGGTATTATGTATGTGTGTATGTACGTATGTAGGTATGTACTTACCTCTCTGTCTAACAACATACGTACCTACCTACCGTTCTGCGTACATACACACACACACACATACATACATACATACATACATACATACATACATACATACATACATACATACATACACATACCGACCAACCGACATACCTACATACATACATGTATGTGCATGCAAAGATGTAACAGTATATACATATTCTATGTACAAACTTATTCACGTATGTTTCTGTTTCCGGAAGTACATCTCTGTACGCACTCTGTCTGAAAGCGAAACAGCCATCTGCTATCCTAGCGGCGCATCATCGCCCACGGCAGCCACTGACGACTTCCCCGGGCAGGCGCTAGCCTCGGCTTGGGAGTTAAGGAAGGACTTCTGGCTTATATAGTGCCCCAAAATAGCACACAAGCAAAACTTAGGACAGGATAGGGTATCCCATATAAACCCCCTTAGAATGAAGCCCAAGAAGGTAGGGATATCCTTATAAAATGCTTATGCTTATGCTTTGTGTCCCTAATTATAGAGCTTTTATGTTTTTATCAAAGTTGCATACGGATTTTGTCGGATGTTAGATCATTAGAGGGCTTTGTAGGCTAGTTTTACAGGGTTTGCACGGATGCGGCTTTGGGGTATTTGCAGTACAAGTATATGGGTATGCTGTAACGGAATGTATACTATTGATATTAACCTCTGAGTCTCACCCGAGACAAACCCTCAAACCGTACATCCTCAACCCCGAAACCCTAAAGCCGAAAAAACGTAGCAGACCACTAAAGCCAGGAGCCATCAACCTATACAGAGCTCTTTGAGTTTACATCTATGTCTACGTCATTAGAAAGACAGTTCTAAAGCCCGTGGGAAGAAAACCGCGAAACCCAACAAAGCCCACAACAGACCTCGAGCTTCGCCCCAAGGATTTCTGTTGCCAGGAGCTTGCCGGCGTCTGCAAACTACCCAAAGCTGGGGTTTAGGGTTTAGGGTTAAGGATTCCAAAGAAATCAGCACAACACGGGAAGACAACGCAGCCGAAGGCGCACCGGCAGTTTCCGCAACGCTGTCTGCGAGGAACCTTTATTTTGGCTGCGTCTTCTGCTTAGGATTCGTCGTAGAGGGTTTAGGGTTTATATAGGGTTTTGTTAATCTTGTTGTTTTGTCATGATTACTGTTATCCGTAAACCCTCACCCTCTCTCAATCTTGCACGGAGCCTTTAGGGTACAAATTGCCTAGTCGGGCTACGGCAGTGACTATAGCCGTCTCAATATCTTGTGAGCTCTTATATAGGTATATACTTTCATGCATTTTCCCCGAAACCCTATTCTAACTATTCACTATTCAGGCCCCTGTATTCCGGACTTCGGGTGAGAAAGTCGGAACACCCCGAGCCGCAAATCCCTGAAACTTCAATCCCCAGCCCCGAAGCCGCTCCGCCGATCTTTTTTCCGGAAACCCCTAATATAGGGGCCTAAATAATTAGCACATGGGGTATATTATTCTATGGTTCTAGTAAGGAACCCCAAAATCGTATAGGTAATTATGAAGGCCCCCATACTAGGGACCCCTATTATAGACCCCTTATAGTAAACCTAATCGACCCCTTTAAAGGATCCCCTTTTCCCCTAAACCCGTGTGCCCGGAGATCCCCGAACCCCTAGACGGCTTGAGCCCTATCAACTTTCTTTAAAAACCCCCGTACACCCTAAACCCTAAACCTAAACCCTAAACCCGAAAACCTATACCCTAAACGCTTAGCCCTAAACCCTAAACGCCCAAACCCCTTAAAGAAATCCACGCAGGCCGAGCACCAACCGAGCGCACTCAAGCAAAGGAGTGTCGGACGCGCGGCCATGGCGCGTGTTTGGGGGAGTTTTGTGGGGCTTAAGATAGGTCGGGCTTCGGGTTCACTTTTTGGGGCTTCGAGGTGCTGGGGCTTAGGGTTTCGGGCGTGTGATGTGTGAGCTGTAGGGTGTAAGTTCTAGGGTGCATCAGTGGAGGGTTTACGGCTCGGGGTGCAGCATGGGGACTGAGATTTGGGTTTAGGGTGAAACAGAAAGGTTCGGTTTGCGGATCTCCAAGGGAGCAACAAGATGCGGCATGCAGTGTTCATCGAATCCAAAGTCACAGCATAGGCGGGGGGGATGAGTTTTGCAGCCTAATTAAACCCGTAAACCCTCAACCCTAAACATTAAAATCCCTAAACCCAAAGCCCCAAAAGCTAGAACCGATAAAGTGAACTACATAAGGGCTCGGGGTTGCTGTTGCTTCGCGTGGCGCTAAGGCCGCAAGCTCAAAGCTCGAACCCATTACAGCAACCCTGAACGTTGAAGCAGACATGCTGCACACTTTACAGGAACCGTGGCAAGGAGGATACTATCGTGAGGTTTGTACATGATGTAGTTTCAGGGACTTAGGATAAACGATACGGGCCAACTCATGATGCCATCATAATGCTACCCGACACCGCGGTAGGCTCCAAACGCTAAACTCATAGAGCCACAGCCCCCAAAAGAACCCCAGCAACCCTTACGCTCCATTCACAGTAGCCCGAAAAAGAACCATCGTAGAAACCTTCATAGAACGCTTGCAGAAAGCCAAATTAGCTACCATAAGCCCGGAACCGCTTCCCCGAACCCCACACCCAGAACCCAAAGCCCTTAACCCTAAGACCTCGAGTCCGAAACCCTAAAACCCTAAACCCTGAATCCTAAACCCCTGGACCCCGAGACCCCCCCAGGTGCATGTTTGGGCAGTGAGAGAAGCACAGGGGGCGCCCCAAAACCCTAGACTTTACACCCAAAGCCCGAAATCCGAAGACCCCATTTGCATCTTTGGGAAGCATAGAGCCCTTAACCCTAAGACCCTAAGAGCTAAGACCCCTGAACCCTACACTTTAAACCCAAAGCCCTAAACCCCAAGACCCCATTTGCAGGGCCTTCTCTTCGGCTTTGATGGCCTCAGCCCGGCTCCCAGGAGCTTTGCGAGAGTCTCAAGGGCTTCTTTTCAGGCTCCTTTCCGGGATCCTGTCAGCCGGACTTCGGGGTGGGGGGCTTAGAGCCCTAAACCCTACACCCCTAGACCCTAAGCCCTAAACCCTAAACCCTAAACCCTAAACTCTAAACCCTAAACCCCTAAACCCCCAAATAGGGCTTAGGGGCTTAAGGGTAGAGGGCTGTAGGAGCTTGAGGCCTGGGGTTTAGAGCGCCACCCGCAGAGAAGCTCTTGGGTGGATCCCTGGTGTACTGGCTGCGGGCTCTGGGATATCATGTCCCAACCTTGCGGGTTTTGAGTACGTGCGTTCTGAATCTTGGGATCCCTTTACCTTACCTTTGGAGAGTAGGGAATGGAGGAATGGGGTACAGTTATAGCTACTATTACTACCATTCTTCCATTCCCTACTAGCCAAAGGTAAGTTACAACACCCCAGATGCTAAACCAGACACGGAATGCCAAATCGGAAAACACAAATAACAAAAAACAAATTGGAGAAGTACCACACCCGCCCCAAAGCATGCAAGGCGCAGCCTCAACCCGAGATCCTGAACCTTACACCCTAAACCCGAAACCTCTCAACCCTAAACCCTAAACCTCTCAAACTCCTCTCTGTGCCGAGGCCGCTGCAATGGGCGCCTGTGGCTTCGGCGGCACGGTCGCTGGCGCACGTCCCGCCGGCTGCGGCTTCGGCGGCACGGTCGCTGGCCCACGTCCCGCCGGCTGCGGCTTCGGCGGCTGCGCTTTCGGTGGCTGCGTCTTTGGTGGCTCTTGCCTCAAGAACGCGGTTTGGCGGATTTTGCATGGCTGGATGAGAGTATTGAACCTGAAAGATGTAATTAGGATGAAGGGCCTGGTATCTTGCAGGTTTGTGTGGCGGACCTCACCATCATTACTACAAGTGCTGCAAAGAGGAGTTGAACCGTTGAGGTTTTGCATTCCAAGGGGGTCGGTATAATACCCGTTGATCCCACACTGGGACGCAAGAAGAAGGGTTGGTGGCGGACGCCCACTGATGTGACACCCGTGCATTGGGGCTATGATGATCCTCTTTGTAAACCTTTAACTTTGATGGAGGCGAGGTAATTACTATAGGGGCCTTTGTAATTGGAATAGGGCTTTGGGGTATACTATGCTATAATCATAACAAGGAACCCCCAAAATAGTATAAGGCCCCTACATTGATCGTGGGGCTTATAGGGCCAAGGGTCTCGAGTCTAGGGTCCGAGTCTAGGGAGGGTTTAGGGATTTTTTCTAGCTGATCGGGTTCAGGGTCTGTCGGGCCGGACCTCTACTTGAAGGCTCATGGGACTTAGTAAGTAAGGTTATCAGTCGGTTATAATTAGGATAACCCCACTTACGGGACTTATAACCCAAATTATAACCTACTTACTAAGTCCCATGATCCTCCAAGTAGCGTCTGGTGTTTCAGGGTTTCCGGCTTCGGCGGGGGTTTTCCGGTTGCAGTCTAGGGTCTCTCAAGCTTCGTGTCTCGGCTTACCAGTTGCTCCAAATCCTTGAAAGTAGCAAAGATGTGCAACCCCTTCTAGGAGCTGCCCGTGGCGCATAATTGCAGGGCATCGACAGTTGAGGTGGATGTAAGACTCTTGCAAAACCCTATCCTGTAGTGTGAAAACAGAAAGCTTCAACACTGCGGCCCGTAGTGCGACGCTTTCTGTGTGTGTGTGTGTGTGTATATATATATATATTTGTATATATGCATATGGTCCAGGGTTTCATCGCAAGCTTTACTCGGTGTTTGGGGTTTCGGGGTTTAGGGTACAGAGTTTCTACGGTTTGGGGATTTATGGGTGCGATCAGCAACCTGAACACAAGGATCCCATTATAGGAACATCCGGAACCCCACTTGTAGCTAGACAGCCTTGCGTGGCCTGCTGGTGCCTTGAGATTAGGACTCAGCGTTTAAGGAGAATGCTTGCCTGGGATTAGGGCTTTAGGGATTTAGGTTTTGAGGGATTATAGGGCCAAATGCTTAAAGTGTACGGATCAGGCTTTTACGATCCTTCATGCGTAGAATAAGGTCTTCGGATAGCTTATGCTACACTCGGGACTGAAGCTAATAGACAAAAGCTCTAAACCTGAAGAGTAAAGCATCGACTACCACCTATCCCCACCCTAAACCCTAAACCCTTAACCCCAACCCCTAAACCCTAAACCCGTATTTCATCCTGAACATCCGAGGCACTTGGTCGCAACGCGCGGCTTCGACATCTCCACACGCACCTCGCCGAAGCTTCCGCATTTACCACTGCCGTCCAGAAAAGTGCAGAGTTTAGGGTTTAGGGGTTAGGGCTTAGGGTTTAGAAACCCCCAAAAACACCTAATCATAACCTTAAGGCACCGTCCCTGCCGGGGCTAGCTTTCAATAGTTTGCTCCGACCGTCAAGGTTTGGGACTTAGGATTTCGTCCTTTCCGCAGGAGGTCTCTAAAACAGCTGGGAAACTCTGTGTCACTTATAACGCGACACCTAGAACCCTCAACCCGGAACTTGGAAACCTGGCCCCAACCCTAAACCCCAACCCCTAAACCTTGAGCAACCTTAGACCGGCCCTAAAACAAACTATTGAGGTAGTTAAGGATCCAAGCCAAACCTTCCTGAAGCTCTAGGCCAGGCCGCTGAACTCCAAACCCTAAACCCTGGAACCCCTAGAGCAGTGTGGTAACCCTGAACCCTAAACCCTTACCTTACATCCCTACAACCCTAAAGCCTAGTCCCTTATGGAACCCTTCAAAGGGAGCCCTATGATAGCACCCCATAGCATCCTTTCAAGGGAGCTCTATTACAGAAACTCATGGTTCCCTTGATAGGAACCCCCATCGAACCTTCATAGAGGCCTCAAATTAAAAGAACTGAACTTGCAAAACCCGGGGTCCTCCCCCCTCCCTGCCTTCTGCAGCTCTGTGCTAAGGCTCGCCTTCTCACGGAGGCAGAGGATCTTGGGAGTTTGGCCGATGAGGGTTCCAGAAAGCTTTCAGAGGGCGTTCGGGGTTTGAAAGGGTGATTCTCACGGGGTTAAGTCTAAACATTTGGGGCGCTAGGTTTCCGGCTTACATTGGCTAACGTCGACGGAAGTAGCGTCCAGGGTCTTGGATTCCGTTTGGGTATGCGCAGGACTTTTACGTCTTCTTTCTCGTATTAGTTAGCTTTCGGAAGGACATAGAGGAACGTGGCTCAGGGCTTGTGCGTTACGCGGGATTGCAGGGAAGAGCTTTCGAGTTCTTGAGGCTTACAGAAAGCCCTAAAACCCTAAACCCTGCAAGCTCGCAGGCTTGGCTGCGTCAAACGCATCCTGGTCATCCGCAGTCAACATTGTTCGAGGCACTTGGGGGCCCGGGGAAAAGAAGGGTAGCTACTGCTTGCGCCATAGCTCATTGATCTCCCCGCTCCCACGGCAACTCTGACACCAGACTTGGGGCATACCGGCCACCACTTGCATGGTAGCGGAGCCTCTGCAGCTACCAGCGAGAGGCTCAGTGTGGTGACGATCCAGGGACAAGCTCTGATCCGCTTGGCCGATCAGAGATGACAAGTGGAGCGGCCGTTTCCAATCGGACTCGTGATGGAGTTCCGGTTTGGGACGGAGACCCCGGAACTTTTTCGGAATTCACCGAAGCCGCACGACTGTATGAGCAAGGGACGGCGCCACATAAGCGGGCGCAGGTGGCTCCCCGTATTGCGGCGGAACTGACAGGGTCTGCAAAGAAGTACATCACAGGACAGCCAGCGGACTGGCTATCGTTTTCTGGAGGTGTCGAGCGTCTCCTTGAGAAGTTGAGACAAGGGCTCGGCAGACCCAAGATTTCCGAAGTGACGGAGCACCTCAACAAGTTCTTCAAGTACAGCCGGAGAAAGCCGGGTGAGAGCGTGAATGACTATGTGGCAAGACGAAGCGAAGTATATCTACGAGCCCAACAGGCCATGGACCGATTGGGCAAGCTCAAGAAGAGCAGTGTGCAAGGAAGTTCGTGGACAGGAACCGAGAGAGCCAGCTTCCAAGGGAACTGGAGTCGCCGTAGCTCTATGGACTCAGGAGCTGGTGGCGACAGTGGAGAGGCAGCAGCGGATGATGAACAATCCACGACGGATCCTGGAAGCAGTTGGACCTGGAACCAAGGAAGCTGGTGGGGCTACAGTCCATGGTGGGATTGGCCCAACTCGGCTGCGAGTGGCAATTGGTCCACGTGGCAACAGGATGATTGGTGGTCCCGGAAGCCAGTGGCAACGGATTCATTGCCTGAGCTGTTACCTGACTTCATTCAAGGATGGCTCCTTCTGCAAGATGCGGGACTGGACCCGCAGGAAAGAGGGTTGGTGATGAATGCTACAGGCGAAGACTACAGCGTGGACGCCATCGCCCATGCTATGCGAACCCTGTTCACGGATGGCGACATGAAGAAGCGAGACAGCAATCGGCGGCAACATGGATTCTGGGGCTCCGTCGACGACGAGAACCAGGATGACACGATGGAGGAGATCATGGACGACTACGAAGCGCAGGAGACCCTCGATGACGAGAGTTTCGCAATGTGGAGTGATGCACAACAAGACGTGCAAGAGGCTATGGCTGCAATCGGGATGGCTCGGCGCACACTTCGTGACGCCAGAGCCAAACAACATGCTGTGAAGATGTCAAGACAGTACTACAAGGTGCGCGCGGCCCGCTGCAGGAAGCCAAGCCTCAGGAAGTCGTCCACGCGATGATTCCCAAATAGTTTGTTTGCGGTGTCAAAAGAAAGGGCACAGGGCTGCCAACTGTCCCCTTCCTCCTCCGGCGGCCAATGTGACGACAGAAGAGACAGCCTCCTTCATCTGCTTTGTCGAGGACCAGGCGGCGGAAATCCTCGAGACCGAGATCAACGAGGAGAAGCACCAGATCGCCGAGATGAAGGACCAGATCACCGAGAAGAAGGACCAGATCACCGAGAAGATGGACCAGAATGTCAAGGTGAAGGACACCAAGGACCTGCCATCAATCACCGAGACTAGCCTTGTGGGGTTCTCAGAGACTTCAGAGGCTGCTATGGTTACCGGGATTACGACATTGGAGGCAGTGAATCAAGGGAAAGCCATTCTGGACTGTGGGGCCACACGGAGCATTGGTTCTGTCTATGCGCTGGAGAAGTTGATGGAGATGAACTTGAAAGCCAAGGGTTCCTCGGGGATTGTGTCGATTGATACCACCAATCGCCCCGTTTTCAGTTTTGGGAACTCCTCTATGAACCAATGCGCCTCCACAGTGAAGATGGGCATCACAGCAGGCAATCGACCAGGAGCTGTGCAAATCCATGCCCTTGATCATGGCCAAGGTCCTATCTTGCTGAGCGTAGAGTCGCTAGGCATGCTTGGTGCTATCATAGATTTCGGTGCTAAGATGGTTGTTTTGCGGGCCATCGACGACACCAAGATTTTGCCGCTAGAGCAGACCGCCACAGGTCACCTGGTAGTGCCGTTATCCGAAGACCTTTTAGCCAAGGCACAGAATGCTGTACAGAGAGTGCCCGGGCTGCCGCAGTTTTTAAATCGTCCTGCCGAGGCGTAGGGACAGCTCCCCCCTGACTTGTGTCCTGTCAAGAAAGGGGAGGTCGCCACAGTTGTAGCAGGACAGGGGTTTCAGAACGGGGGTGCTGTTGCATCCGCTGTTCGCGAAGATGAGTGTGATCCTGTGAGAGTGAGTAGTGGTTGTGAATGTCAAGTTGTGAATGTGATCTCCGAAGAGTCTGAATCCAGTGCCACAGCAGATCGCAAAGTTGCTGAGCGACATGACCTACATGTTCATGGATGCCGGCAGCCACTTCCGAGATCAAGGGTGACTTTTGAGTCGACCACATCCCAGTCTACCGTCAGCCATGGCCCCAAAGACGGCAGCCCAGCTTCGCGAGGTGCTGAGCAGTCACGGAGAAGAGCCCCCCAAGCGCTGGACGAAGGTCGAGCTGCTACAGAGGGTCGAAGAAGTGACGGGAGTAGACTACACGAAGACGAGCTCGCAGGAGAAGTCGGAGTACCGCATGTACATGACGGGGCTCAACCAGGCGGCGACCCGCAAGAACACCCTGCAAGCTTACTGCCGCAAGACCTTGGACATGGAGGTGAACACGAACTTGACCATTGCGCAGTTGCAGAAGGAAGCTGTGGGTGTGATCTACGGAAAGGCCGCACCGGATCCCAGCGACTTGGTGGGATTTGGCCGTCACAGCCAGTTGACGTATGCCACCGTGAAGGCCGAGCACGAGCAGTACAGTGCATGGGTGATTCAGACAGCACGCGAAGGACAATGCAATCCTCGCCTTCGCAGGCTAGCCGGCTGGCTCGCCAACGACCCGGTGCTGGTAAAGCGAGCACAGGAGGAGTTCTTCAGCATGTCCAAGCTCGTGGAAAATGTGGCAGTGGGCTACCCGGTCGAGCCCACAACACCGCGCCAGGCGACGTCGAGTTCCTCACCCATGCCCAAGGCCGCAGTCCAGAAGATCCGCAGCCCGAAGACGGAGGTTACCGAGGAGGACACGGTGCAGGTCGGGACCGAGGTGCTGGCCAACTTGGTGCAGACGATCGAGTTGCTCAAGAGCGAGGTGGCGACGCTGAAGGGCGAGAGGCCTCGCAAGAAGCCAAGCTCGGAGGACAGCGATGCGAGTTTCTCGGTGGCGGGATCACTGTAGAACGTGATGAGGACCAGGACCCCGATCAGCCTATGAGTGCATCCGAACAGCTGAGTAGACAGCTGAGTGTAGGACGGGCACGGCAGTTTGAGCAGTGGGGTTCTGAAGTGATTCCGAAGATTTTCGAAGGTTTGGTTTCGGAGGGTAGGCCTTGCCTTTTGGAGGTTGTCAGTTCTTCTGGAAGCCTGTTGACTGCCACTGTTCAGAGCATAGCTGGTAGAGCAGAGGCTGCTAGTCAATGTGGCGCACATGATCGTTGTGACCTGGGAAAACGGGAAGGGGTGAGCCTCCTCCTGAATCGCATCAAGCTCGAACGGCCCAGGCATGTATGGTTAAGTCCCTCAAGCGAAGCTTTTTCTCCCCTTCAGCGAATGAACCAAGGGAACCCCGAACAACAGGCCGAACTGAAGGCTAAGAGAAACCAAGCTCTGAGAGAATATCTGGGAGCAATTGCAGTGATGCATGCTTGTCGACAACTAGGGATTCACTGCACTTGGCAGTGGCCAGAACACTGCAACGGTTGGCGTCTTCCCGTGGTTCAGAGGTTGCTTCAGAGGGGTGATCTTCAGGTGGTTGTCGCGAAGGGTTGCAGGCTCAATTTGCGAAGTAATTCTGAAGGTCCTTTAGCGCGATCAGGATGGAAGTTGGCAACAACATGTCTTCGACTTGCGGAAGCAATGAATCTCCCGTGTAGATGTGACCCAGGATACAAACATGGTGAGTTGAACAGTCGACAGTCACAGCAGAAGGTTTCCCCAACTCCCGAGTTCTGTAAGAGAGTGGCCCACGTGATTGCCCAAGAACTGAACACTAGCCAGGTTCAAGCGGAACTTAGAGGGCAAAGTCAATTGCAGGAGGGTTTTGGGGAAGGGACGTGTTGTCTGTGTTCGGAGGTGAAGGTTTCAGGGACCCAAGCGGTTTGTGGTCAGTGTGTTTTGGAAGAGGCTTGTGAGGCTGCGCAGTCAAGTAGGCGAGAAGGTCATGAAGAAGTTTCTCTTGAAGAGTTTACCGCTTTTATGACCAATGAACAGATTCAGGAAGCCGAGGCACAAGCCCAAAACCTCCTCGATACCAAGACCTTCACCCAAGAAGCCTGTGAAAACCTTCTTCAGCATCTTCCTTTCAAGCCCCTCAACCGACATCGTAGAATGTTAGGAGATCTTCGTGTTGTCTATGTGACCCTGGGAGTGTATGCTTATGGAAACCACTACGGCCTGACCAACAAGAGTAGCCAGTTTCCGTATTTGGCCAAGTACTTGAACAAGTTCCTCGAAAACTGGTCTGGAGGCCCCTTCTGTAGATCTACGATTACCGTGAGTTTGAACAATCTGCTTCCCTTGCATCGTGATGTGAACAACGACGAGAGTTACGATAACCACGTGCTAGGCTTAGGGAAGTTCCAACACGGGGGCCTGTGGGTCCAAAAGCCGAACGGTGGCGCAGCCACGGCGGAGACGCCGCATGCGCGACAGCTTCCCAATGGAGAATGGGTACAAGGCCAGGTCCATAACATTAATGGAAGGGTGCTGAAGTTTTCACCAAAGTTATGGCATGAGTCGCAGAAGTGGACTGGTGAGAGATATGTGCTCATTTCGTATGTGTCTCGGGGTGCTCACTGGGTGTCACAGGAAGAGAGAGAGAGAGAGAGAGAGAGAGAGAGAGAGAGAGAGAGAGAGAGAGAGAGAGAGAGAGAGAGAGAGAGAGAGAGAGAGAGAGAGAGAGAGAGAGAGAGAGAGAGAGAGAGAGCGAAACAACTGGGTTTTGTGTTACCTCCTGTTCCGCAGAAGCCCATGCTGGAGAAACTTAGGAACCCTGAGAGCTTTGTGGCGTCCTCTGAGAGTACGAGTAGAGAAGAGACCCGAATCATGAAACAGTTACATTTGCTGCACTCTGCAACGGGACACGGGAGCGTGCGAACCATGATTGACGCTCTGAAGCGAAGGGGAGTGTCGGACAAGGTGTTGGAGGTGGCCCAGAAATTTACTTGTTCCACGTGTCAAGAACGTAAGAAGCCCCCTCCTAGGAACCTGGCGTCTCTCGACATTCTCCCTCCCAGATGGCACACCATCTCAGCCGATATCGGTCACTGGGTGCACCCACGCACAGGGGAGCACATGCAGTTTATGATCGTGATTGATGAGGGCTCTAGGTTTAGGGTTGCTAAGATTTTGAGTCGCGGAAGCAAACAGCAACCATCGGCTGCCACTTGCCTTGAGTACCTTCGGGAAGGATGGAATCAGATTTTCGGAAGGCCCGACGTGATGCGATTAGACCCAGCGGGAGCTTTTAGGAGCAAGCAAGTTGAAGATTTTTGTGACCGCAATAGCATCTACCTAGACTTGATCCCCGCTGATGCACATTGGCAACTGGGCGTCTGTGAACAGGCGATCAAGGGCCTAAAACATGTGTTGGATCATCTGACGGCCGAAGACGATCAGGTGTCATCTGAGGAAGCCCTCGCATTGGCCGTGGAAGTGTTCAACAGTCGGGAGCAAATCAGAGGTTTTACCCCCATCCAGCACGCTTTTGGGCGAAATCCGGATGTGACTGGGAGATTGATCCAGAGACCCGAGGGCCTCCTCGACGAGCATATCGTGGAAAACGCAACAGCGGATTTTGCCAAGCAGGCTCGGTCACGAGCGGAGGCTGAAAAGGCTCTGTGTGACTGGCAAGCGCAACAGCGCATCACGCGAGCGCTCAACTCGAGAAGCCGGCCACAGGCGAGATATGTTCCAGGGGATTTGGTGTTCTTCTGGAGAACACAAGAAAGTGGCCAGGGGCGAAAAGCTCCAGGGAGCAAACATGGCCGGTTCCTTGGTCCGGCTCGGATCCTTGCGACGGAAGGACGCAAGGAAGAGGACGGATCGTTAAGACCCGGCTGCGCGGTGTGGTTGGTGCGAGGCAGATCGTTGATGAAGTGTAGTCCTGAGCAGCTTCGTCATGCATCTGCAAGAGAGGAGTACCTTGAAGCCCTGGCGGCGAAGACGCCGGAAGGAGGAACTCCTTGGACCTTCAAGAAAGTCGCTGAAGAAATTGGCGGCAACCGCTACGAAGACATATCAGGCGAAGTGCCAGCTGAGTCTGAATGGAGGCGAGCACAAGATCCGGAACAAGAACAGCAGCCCGCTCGGTTCTCGGCACCGCAGCACCGAGTTCGGGGAAAGAGAGGAGAACCGGAGGCGAACACTGATATGGTGGAGGATGAGGAAGAGGACACAAGAACCCCTTCTGCGCCTAGCCGGATACAGAGGCCAAGGACGGACCGTCGTGATGGAGCCTACAACACGGAGGTATGGTGGGACCGAGTACCTGCCGCACACTTCGGAGAACATTGTAGCTACTGGGCAGAGGACAGCGCGGCCGTGGAGATTGGCATTGACATGCCAGTTACCAAGCGGGGCATGGACCTCGCATCCCGCAATTTGTGCGGGTACTTTGCCAGTGCTCTGAAGCGGAAAGCGATCGAAGTGTCTGAAAGGCGCCTGTCCGAGGGAGAAAGAGAACAGTTTCGAGCTGCAAAGGCTATTGAGGTCAAGAACTTCGTGGCTTCGAAAGCATTTGAGGCTCTTCCAGCGGGTATGAAACCTGATAAGGAGCAAGCAATGGGCATGCGATGGCTGTTGACATGGAAGGCGAAGGACGACGGTACCTACAAGGCCAAAGCCCGAGCTATATTGCTCGGGTATCAGGACCCAGCCTACGCTCATCGAGCAACCACCAGCCCAGTCATGACTCGGCAGACCAGACAGATGTTGCTACAAGTTGCTCTGAACAACAATTGGAGTGTGTTCAAGGGCGACGTTTCAGGAGCATTTCTGCAGGGCCGTGAGTATCCGGAAACACTGCTGTGCATACCGTGCGATGAGATTTGTGAAGCAATGGGCCTCACGAGTGGCAGTGTGATGCGCATGAGAAAAGCATGTTACGGACTTGTCGATGCGCCTCTTGAATGGTATCGAACGGTCACGGAGTATTTTGAGCCTGTCGGTTTGACGCGTCTGTGGTCTGATGCTTGTGCCTGGGTGTACCGGGTGGATGGTGAGTTGAAAGGTTTGGTGTCGGGGCATGTTGATGATTTCCTGTTCACCGGTGATGAAAGTCATGCTGGGTGGCAAGAGATTATCCGCTTGATTAAAGAGCGATTCAAGTGGGGTGATTGGGACAAAGACAACTTCACTCAGTGTGGTGTTCAGGTGACTCGAGAACCTCAGCAGTTTCGTCTCTCCCAACCCAGTTACGTGGATACCATTCCGGAAATCAACCTCAACAGTGCGCGTAGGAAACAAGAGAAACAAGAAACCACGGCACAAGAGAAATCGCAATTGAGAGGATTGCTTGGGGCTTTGAGCTGGCATGCACAACAAGTTGCACCCCACCTCTCAGCCGATGTGAGCTTGATGCTTTCTGAAGTTAGCCGAAGCACTGTAGGACTGATAGGACGAGCCAACAAACTGTTGCATCAGGTGAAAGCCAGGAAGGACCACGCACTCATTATACATGCCTTTGGTCCCTCTGAGGAGCTAGGAATGTTCGCTTGGGTGGACGCAGGATCGCAGAATCGTCCAGATGGCGGGAGCACACAAGGAATTCTGATAGCTTTGGCTCCTCGTAGTATGCTTCAGGGTGAAGTTGGCCGGGTTTCCTTGATGGGATGGCACTCTAATAAGATTGATCGAGCCTGCCGAAGTCCAGGAGCATCAGAGACACAGGCTGCCATCAACGGAGAAGACTTGCTTTATTATGCTAGGTACCAGTGGAGTGAGATTTGCCAGGGCAACATTGATGTTCGTGACCCGGATTCTTGCGTTCGGAAGGTTGAGGGAACTTTGATTACTGACAGCCGTAATGTGTACGATAAGCTGAACACTGAAGTCCTCACCATCAAGGGAGCCGAACGAAAGTCGAATCTAGAACTCTTGAGCGTCAAAGAGGCCCAACAGCGTACTCACCTACATGTTCGATGGGTACATTCGGAGGCGCAGCTGGCGAACTCCTTGACCAAATTGAACGGGGGCCATGAATTGGAGATGTACTACAGAATGGGACATAGCTGGCGCATCGTTGAAGACCCCGCGATGAGATCAGCGCGGCGACGTAAAGCTCAAGGACTACCTCCCTTGGACACGATCTCGGGGATTGCGAAAAGTGAGCCGGATGATGACTCTGAAGAGATAGAATGTATGATGTGTCAGGATCACACCTATTTTCTTTAGCACCCGGAGACCGGGGCATGCAAGCTCGCAGGCTTGGCTGCGTCAAACGCATCCTGGTCATCCGCAGTCAACATTGTTCGAGGCACTTGGGGGCCCGGGGAAAAGAAGGGTAGCTACTGCTTGCGCCATAGCTCATTGATCTCCCCGCTCCCACGGCAACTCTGACACCAGACTTGGGGCATACCGGCGACCACTTGCAAACCCTAAAACCCCAAACCCTAAAGGCCTAAAACCAAAAAAAAACCAAACCCTAAACCCCTAAACCCCAAAACATTCACCACGGACTCCAAGCACCCTGGTGGGCCTGCACGGATCGAAGCCGGGGAAGCAGCGGCAGCAGGGAGTTCAACACCGGCTTAGAGGAAGCCTGGCATCTTCAGAACCTTAGGGTTCCTTTAAAAAGGGATACTACCAGGGCACTATAAGGTTCTATAAGGGTTCCCTTAAACAGGGAGACTATAAGGGTACTATAAGGGTTCTTTGAAAGGGATACTATAAGGGTCAGGGTTCCTTTAAAGGGATACTATAAGGGGGTACTACAAGGGTTCCTTTAAGGGCTTCTAGGAAACCTGGCATCCTTCGGAACTTTGATGTTTAGGGCTTGGGACTTCAGCCTTGGGTCTTCCTGAGTTTGGGCAGAGATAGGGCCGAAGGGAAACTACTATTTGCTTAAGAACCCCCAAAAACTAAAAAATGTATTATTCCTTATAGGGATAATATAGGGATTCTCTTTTTTTTTGGAGGGGGTTCTTAAGCAAATAGTAGGAAACCTGGCATTCCTTGCGGACTTTATCTAGGTGGCCTTTTTCTGTAAGGGTTCCATAAGGGTGCAGTGGATTAGGGCTTCAGGATTGGTTGAGAATTTAGAGTTTAGGGATAAGGCCGCAGTAGGGCTTAAGGATGGATGGAGACTTCAGAGTTTACTGCTGGGGCAGGATGTGGGAGTTTCCGAAAATTAGGGGGGTACCTTATTTTGGGGTCCTTTTTAATAAGGATCCTACCATGTAGGGTACCATATTGGGATCCCCAATTTTCGGAAACCCCCATGTTCTCAGAAAAACTTTGAGAGGCGGTCCGTCGTCGCTCATCCCTTCACGAGACTCGCCCCTTGGAGCGTCCTTGCTCTGGGCCAGCGACTCGGATCTCCAGGTCTATTTTTAAAGCGCTCTCTTAAAACCCTCAACCCTAAACCCTAAACCCCTAAACCCCTAAACCCTAAACCCCTGAACCCTAAACCCTAAACCCCTAAACCCCTAAACCCTAAACCCCTAAACCCTAAACCCATCGCCTATCTTGAGGTCTTCTTGTTGTCCTAAGCCCAAGCCTTCGCATTCAGCTTAGGGTCTTGGGCCTTTCGGGCATGTTCACGTAAAGAACAGGTAGGTCGGTCTTCAAATTGGGATCCCCTTTCGTATATCCCAGAAAAGAGGCCAATGGCCCTTTCGCTGCGGACCCGAAAAAGAATCCATAATTTGGAGAAGAGGCTTATGGACGGAATAATCTTCGTAATCCTAGAATCCCGGCATGTAAGCCTGGGATTGACAGGGTGCCATACCGGTCCGACTCTGTTTTGCTGTAACTTTTCTATGATTCGAGGATTGCGACAGGGCCTTGCAAGGGTGAGGGGCTTGCTGCTGCAGCGGGCTTCGAACAAAGGGTGCAGGATAACTCCACTAAACCCTAAACCCTTAACATACCCTAAACCAAAAAAAACACTTGACACACTTTCTCCTCTACTTAGAGCATCCTCCTAGAGTCCCGCAGGGACAGAGGCTGCATATCGCGGGCGCGATTAGAACAAGGTTTGGGGTTTGTGGGTATGTTAAGCTATATTATAGACTATAGTTGTACAGGGAGCATAGCGCAATATTCTGGCATTATCACAATTTATCTAGACCCTGCATCATTATGGGATACCTTCGATCTTGCTTGGACTCGAGCAGTGCGGTCCAATCGGGTGCTGGAAGGTTGTTGTTGTCTCTTACGGTTCGGGGTTGGTTCTTTGCGTGTACCTGGACCCGACAAAACCTGCCTCTCCTAGCAGCTGCCCCATAGAAACAAAGGTTGCAACTGAAGAAAGCAGGTGCTGCAGGGTCAAGGTCCAGCAAACTTCCATGCAGGACATTTACTTGTACCTTGTTGTACCTTTGTTCCACCCCAACACTTGGGAGAGCGATTTGGTTTTTGCTAAGGACTTGCTAACTTACCCTTAGAAACAGCATGATGTGTACCATACACCCAGCATAGTCGTTTTGTTAGCTGAACCAAGTTCCTTCAGAAACGGGAGCCACAGTCTATGTCTAGAAAAGCCGCGGGCGGGTCTTGAAAAAAGAAGCCATTCCATGGTTGTAGCCAGAGGTGGGCTTCATTGAGAAAGCCCGATAGCGCGTGTACCCACTTGTTGACACATATGGGTGGTTATCAAAATTAGGGTCCCGCTCTGGGTCCCTATTATAATACGGCACCTATTATTTAGGGTACATAAAAAGGGACCATAATTTTGACACCTACCCATATAGTACCAGAGTAAGCCCATATAGCACCCCGTACACCGACCCGGGGAAAGATGATATAATAGCCCAGATGAAAAAAAGTCTCGGGGTGAAGGAACTCAAGAATGCTGCTCGGTAGGGATTCACTCTTCTCCGCTTGAAACTAAGGATTGATTCAAAGGGGTAAAGGAGGGGCCCCTAATAAGGACCTAGGTATATACCCATTATATAGCCCATTATATAGCCCATTATAGGGTAGGGGTCCCCATTAAGGGTCCCTCCTTTTCCCCTTTGGTTGATTCCGCTCTTAAGGGGTCTTCAAAGTCACGACCCAGTCGGGCCTCCCGTAAAGGCGGGTAGCATAATAATGGGGACCCCTTAAAGGGTACCCCTTCTGAACCCTACTTCTGGCTCTCTCAAAAGGGGCCTTATTGAGAGGGCAAAAGGGGCCGTAATAGAGAGAATATATGGTTCTGGGGTACACTACAATGCTGTAGTACAGGAATGGAGGCTTCCAAGACATATTGAAACCCCTGGAACACCCATGAAAATGTAGTAACCCTCGTTAAATTCTTGAAGGAATGCAGGGGATAATTCACCTTCTTCTCTTAGAAGGGTGTGAAGGGAGGCTTCGAAGTTAAGGGCTTAGGGTCTAGGGTTTAGAATGTGGGGTTCTTCGGCCAAGCGTGCCGTAAAAGAGCAATTTCTTTGTGCATCCTCGCCACCAAAGTGACTTGGGATGTACAAACGGGGCACAGATGGAGTGGGATTGGCAGGTGAAAATGGAGCAGGTAAGATTCCGGTAGAATGCCTTGGACGCTAGGGCAAGATACAGAACGGAGCGGATGGGATGCAGTGGGTTTTTATGCATAGGGGCTGGGGCGGCAGGAAAGAAATGGAGTTTTCGCATAGGAGGCGTGGGGATTTTAGGGATTGGTGCAGTCGCGTTTTTGGATCTAACCACGCGCCTTGAAGTCTTCTTGGAGACACCACCGTACGAAAGCAGACCATAGCGCATTATTCGTCTCAAGACGTCTATGCCCCATCTCGTTTACGGCACTTGTTTCATGGAAATGAAAGGGGAGCGCAGTGCAGCTAATTCAGTTCTAAACAAACTTTAAGTACATAAACAAACAAATACAGATTATGTAAATATACATATAAATATATCAGAACTCAGCACGAATGACGGAGGATTCTATGATCAAAGCGCTCCGGCGAGCATCAATGATTTCTATTCCTGTGCTATATACTCGTTGTCAAAGTATATGTCTCCAAGACAGTTGGTTCGGATCTCCTAACAAGCCACGGGTCCCTCCTTCAAAAAAGAACTTTCAGAACAGCCCTCACAGGGGCAGCTTTCTCACTACACCAAGGATTAATTGGTTCTGGGGAAGACAAAAGCCAAAGACTTGACCCCGAAACCAGGACCCCTCCCTCCTGATGTTTTTGCAAGAAAAAATCCGAAACGGTCATAAGGAACCCCAAGGGAGAAGGTTACTACTTATTCTCTCTATAGTGGGCTGCTATCACGATGTATTCAGGCTTCAGATCTGAGCTCGCTGCGCTAGATCCCGAATCCGGTCCCCGCAACCCGCTTGTTCTGAACATGGACAGTTGTCCAAACAGGCCCCGACAAAAGATCGCACTGCAACACTGAGGGCCTTAAAAAGTGCCCCTAACTTAGACTTAGAACTGGAAGTTCAGCATTTCGCGGTTGGGTTTTGGGCGCTGAAAGGTTATCGGCCAACTTGCACCCCCCCACCCCCACCCTGAGATTTTAAAAGATCGCCCAAGTTTCTGGGTAATGGGTAGATTTTCCATTCAGGAACCTTTGAATTCACAGCGGTTTTCAAATCTTTTCGGTTGTTAATAAAATCTCGCTTCTTGAGGAAATGTGTTTACAAATACATTTTATTAAAACCGTTTTCGGTGTCTAAAAAATCATTAGTTTTTAAAAACATGTTCGCTCAAAAAAATCCTGGCTCGGTCAGGGGAGTGGAGATCTGTTTACAAAGCCTCTTTCAACTGCTTTTGCCGGGGGTGGGAGTTGATAATTCGCTAGCTAAAGGGGTTGCTGCACAGCGCAAGAATCTCTGAGAAGATAAACATACCTACAGTCTTATTGTTAAGTTAACCGATTTACTGTAGCGATCCTGCAATGAAAAACGGTGGCAAACACAAGAAACTGCACAGGGCATGGATTTCTGGCCTGCTGCAAAGTTTCACGGGTCTTGGGGGGCTGAAGGTACGCAGTAGAGTTTTTCAAAGGCGGCGACATACCACACCCCTTCACCGTAAGCCCTTAGACTGTTCAAGCCCGTACTGTAAACCCAAAACACGAAATCCTGTCAAAATGGTTTTTGTTGGGGCCAGAGCACCCTCTCGTGTTTCTGTAAAGAAAGTGTTGGTTGGAGCCCGGCGGAGGCTGCAACTGCGTTTACAGTGCACCCCAAAAGGTTGGAAACCTAGTTAAGGCCAAATAGTGCTGGGATTCCCGATACATTACTCTTAAGGATCGAGGCTATGGGGTTTCCAACTTTTGGGCTTCTACGGTATGTCCATGACGTGGCGATACTTGCAATTTGGGGGTTTAATAAAAGCATCTCAATCCATTAGAATAGAATTCTTGTGGTACGTTAGATGCTGAAAATGAGTATAACGACGCGTCCTGAGGAATAGTAGTACAAATTATTCAGTCCCTGCATTCAGCATGTTGAGACCGGGCCTCAATGAGGCCTCCAGCCTGCATTAAAGACCTTGTTTAAGGAGTAGGCTTTAGGGTTTAGATCTAGGGCTTAGGGTTTAGGGCATCTGCAGGCTTGTTTCCCGCAACTCCCTTTTCGAGCAGCGGAGACAGGGGTGCGAGAAAAATTTGCTACAGGATTGAAAACACGGTTGGATATACTAACACCGCTTTTCAAGCAAGCCTCACTCCGAGCCATGCTCTAGAGCAAAACGACCAAGAAATTGACCCCCATCGGTGCTTCGAGTGTTGTTGAAGAACTAGGCGGGGCCTTTAGAGCCTTTGAAAAATATTAGTAGATAAGATCCTAATAAGGGAAAATATAAAATGTCCCAAAGCCCTACGTACAGAAGGTGTCATGAGTGAAACGTTCCTTGGCTACAGGTTCTTGATAGCGTCAGTCGGGCGGGGCGCTAAGCAGCAAGAGATCATATAGAAGCCTGAATGATGATGGAATAAGGTATTCATGTACATGAGTGTATGCTTCTATATGGACTATCAGGGTATCCTCTTACTGACAATCCAAACCCAATAGTTCTCCTCAGCCCAGTATTTTTTCGGAAGCAGCGGGGTCGTGGGAAGCGCGTTAGATATCACCCCAGGAAACATGCAACCTGGGCATCTAAACAACCAGAATCGAACTTGCGGGGGTGTATATCGTCGCACGAGTGACAATGAATATTGCGACTGCCTTAAAGTTCCGAAATCCCTAAACCCTACACTCATAGCACCCAAACCCTGAAGCCTGCTAATTCAGATTCCTCCGTCAGCGGGAATGTGTGGTTCCCTCAGGCGGGACCGACTGGAACCAACCCTACACCTCAAACATATCACTTTACACGGGTCCCACCAAGGTTTTGCAGTTGTAGGGCGCACAAGGGCTTAGGCTCTGACACAGGGGTCTGAATAAGTGAACCCCCAACCCCAAACCCTTGCAGTTCCCTCAACGGACTGCCGGATTCACAACACCCGCCCCAAACATCGAAAGCAAAAACCCTGGACCGTCGGCGACACGGCGAGCTTCCGGCATAATTCTGCAATGCTACATTGGCCTGAATAGCTTGAATAGGGTTCTGGGCTGTATATACATGTATATATATATATATGTATATATAAGGGCCATAAGAGATAGCTCTGCTTCATCAGCTCTGTATCAATCACTCTCTCTCGCCTGCAGCTCTGAGATGTGTAGCAGAACACGAAACTCCCTTCGCATGAAAGGCAAGAACCGTCTCCCCAAAGCTGGCTCTAAGCATAGCTACGAGAGGACTCCCGCACTCTCCCATCTTGTCGAACTTAGTCAAAATGTAGTTGTAACATCCCCGGAAAACAGAAACTGAAGTACTCCTGCATGCAAGACCTGCTGATCCCTCCTGCATGCATGCCGAAAAGTCGCAGATACATACATAACCCATGAAGCACTCCCCTGCGTCATACAGGTGTATATATGCAAAGCGTATTTGCATACATATATATATATATATGTGTGTGTAAGTGTGTACACACACATGAATGTATGTGTGTGCATGTAGTATGACGACAGCGAGGGAGAGTGAGACATTAAGACAAAACCAAAAACGTCAGCATGCAAACAGAAGTCCATCTATGCTTGCGCATATGCATACCAGGTAAATGCCAGCTACCTACATCCATGCACATACCTGAACACGACGTCAAGCACAGAGAACATGCATGACAGCCGTGGGTACAAATATGTGCATACATAATCATGTTCACGCATATTTGTTAATTCACATAGCTCCTACATATGGACAAGAGATGCATACACATCAAGACAGATACAAACGAAATCTAGAAGCATCCCTATATCCAGATGAACATTTTGATATGGGTACAAACATAAGTACAAGTAGGTCTTCGGATTTCATGGGTTGAAGCAACAACTACAGAGGTTTATGTGCGTAGCCTTCCATATGTATATATGCACATCTATATGTTTTTCTGCGTGTGCGAGCATGTTTTCTTGAATACACATACACGATGTGGTTCAGTAACTTCTGGATGAGTGTAACCGAGGAGATGCACGTGAATATCGCCGCACCATATTGAGCACATATGTCCCTACCTACATCGGCAAACATGCACGTATGTGTGCTAATTAGGCATTTACAAACCTGAACATGAAAACACAAGTGGCGATGCTAATTTTTGCAACAGCAACAACAACAACATGCCGGTCATCTGTATATTGATGCATGTAAGATACACACACTCTGCGTGTCTTATACACATCTGTACATACATATACACACATACATAGATACATACATAAACACAAAAATACATACAAACATACCTACCTACCTACCTACATACATATAGTACATGCTTATGACTTAGGATGCACACGTCCAAGTGAACGCTGATACGTAGGTGCTTATCTACCCACTACAGTACATATGTACACAAGTGTCTCAGATGCATGCACTTCAAAACCGATGTGCGTTCATAATGATATGCATACTTATATGTTGGTATACACATGTAAGCACATGCGTCTCATGCAAGCTATGCTTGTACCTGCATACCGAAAATGCATATGTCCATTTGCCAGGCTTCAACGGAATCTGATTTCAAAAACAGTCTCTCACAGTGTTTGAAATAGGGCGCGGATGCCGCCAAAACTCTGCCACTGAAAACTGCAAGGGCATGGGGTGTCATGCTCTTGATTCCGGACATAGGGTTTATGGCATGGGAATGGGAAAAAGTCGGTAGAATGTCAACGACTTTGAATCCTAGAGCCTGGCAACGTGGGAAACTCGGATATCTACGAACTCCGAGTGCTGCAGATGTAAACAAATTCGTGTGTAGAAAATGTTGTAAAACGTTTAAGGTCGCTTGAAACTCTGGGTGTGCGCGAACACCGTCAGCATGAAACCTGGCAAACAAAAAAACTGTAGAAACGGTAGGTTTCGTCTGTTCCGAGATCTTGCCATGGTATGATTCGAGATCTCGGCATGCATGGAAATTTGGGATATCTGTGGAGAGCTCAGTAGCCCAGGATGACTAGTCTGGTCTTGTTTGCGATGTCTCGGCCTCGGCCACAATTTTGCAGAGTCTTGTGCGTCTCTATGTATGTCCAAGAAACGACACGAGCCCTTGGGGCTCGTGTATGAGCATGTAACCTCCTAGCATGCGGTTTGGAACCGGAGTGCTCAACGGTGCGAGTCACTCATTGTAGCCCTACATCGTGACATTTACTCTTGACTCAGAGCACTTGTAGAAACTGCTGCTTAGCTAAGCGAGGATCATCTGACATTCATGCCTTGTTGTCACATTATGCCCGTGGTGCGAGTATAACAGTCTATGGTTGCATCATCGGCTGCTTTGTTCTTCTGGTGTTGTTGGGTCTTAATTTTGCACGATTGTATATGATACGTGATGCGTTTCAGCACAAACACGACGGCCGAAACCTGACCTCATTGTGTGTGTGTGTTTCACCGGCGCACTTATTTCAAAACTTACACGTATGTTTACATGCATGCATAACCGCATAGGAATACTCAAAGCTGACAAATGGTGCACACAGAGACAAGCAAACAGAGAGGCCGAACGTAATTAGAGAGACGCGAACAAAAAAGATCCGAAACACAAAGCCCAACGCAGGCGCTGAGCTGATGGATTGACAGACACACACCTGCACAGAAACATGTCTCAGCAAGGATGCGCATATTCTGCATAGAAATGCACCGTGAAACCATCCAAACCTTGCCCTGTTCGCCAGTAAACTCGCTGGGAGCCACCCCTCCTTTGCGCGCTTGGCCTTTGCTGGGATCAAAACCACGTCGTTGACACATCGCAACACGAAGTATAACATCAGATTAAGTCCAAATCAATGTCATAATAACAGAAAGCATCACGGAAGTGGTACTGGTTGTGAAGGCAGCATTCGCACACGCAGCAGCAACAGTAGTGCTGCAGCAGAGGCAGCAGCAGCCGCAGGGGTAGCAGTGTAGCAGTGGTGAATGTGGCACTAGGAAGCGTTGTCGTGATTGCTACATACCAGGACAAGCGGTAGTGGCTACGGCTCTTGCAAGACAAGCCCTTCTAAAACAAAAAGTGGTAACCTCCAAACAACTGGTGCCATGAACTGCTCGGAAACCGCCCTGTTCGACCAACATGACGACTCTCGGGAAGAGCAATCCTGCTGCAAACATGTTGTAACGGCGCGAACCATGTCCGTCGTGGTATAAATGCCTAACTTCATGCGCTATTCCGCAAGCGTTTGACGCCCATTTGTCGCAACCGTACCGTTTGACGTCCATATGTCGCAACCGTAATGGCTCGGGGACGCCCCCACTTGAATTCGTTTGCGGGGGTCGGTCGAAGAACTTGTGCTTGCGTACGCGAATTGTTGTCTTTTGTGCTCAAGAGGTTCAAACCCAGAGATCGAGGATGCGGAAACCGGAGATTTTGGTTGCAAAAGGTTGCTGCTTGGACATCATGGGGCATGCACACTGGGCTGTTGATTTCTTTCCTTGCTGTCGCGGCGGATACTGTGATGTTTGGAAGCTGGGACCCTAAGACCTGGCCCACCGCGAGCATTCCATCAGCAACAACGATCACCAACGGAGTTCGACCTGCAGAACATCTGAGGACAAACGACCCCGCAAAGGGCCACGCGGGCGGCTGAAAGCGTTTAATCAGTTTAATCTGCTTGTCTCAACTAGGAACTGCTAATTACGCCTCAAGCCGACTCACACACCGAAAGCCTAGAGAACAACCCAACGTGAAACCAAAATACTGCCACGATGGCATGATGCAAAAACTCGCCACACAACAAGACAATGCAGCTAGCTCGAAAACACTTGCGCGCGAGTTGAAGATGCTTGCATCTATTGTTCCAAGTTTGAGCATGAAGACTAACGACTCATGTGTTGCCGGAACATGTACCGAAGGTGAGCGCCATTTGTGTGTGTCCTTGATTGTCCTTGCACAAAACAAGCATCATGCAAGCACGTACCGGCTGTGCTTTGCAAAATTCGCTTCAATTTGCTCTTGTCTCTCCCGATTCCTCACCATACCGTCCCGCCTCATCAACAAGTCAAGCATGGCCGAACCCACCGCAGAGACGTTCGCTTGCTGGGGCTTCTTCTTTTGTTTGAACTGATATCTTTCTGTAACTTCTTACAAACGATCGAAATCCCAACGCGATGAAATACCTTTTGCCCAAAAGTTGAACTGCATCTGGACAGGGCATACCGCTGTCAGGGGGAACAAGGGAGGGAAACACCAACGGAAGAGGAAAAACAGAACACATGGAGTTGGTGGAAATGTAAAAGTATTTCGCTGGTCGTTGCAACTACTGTAATTGCTCCTGCTGCTGATGATGATGTTACTGATGCTGCTGATGCTGCTGCTGCTGCCGTTGGCCGTTTGCCGATGACGACCCTGACCCTGACTCTGATGCTGATGTTGATGCACCCTGACGCTGATGCGCACTGATGCTGATGCCGACGTGGTTACTCTGTTGGTGCCGCTGGCGCTGTCGGCGCTGTTGTGATGGCTACCGCTACTGTTGGCGGCGGTAAAGGTGCCGCTGCCGGGCATTCCTCGTCTTCCGACCGTTGTGTCTGAATGTTCGTTGATGGGGTCTCTTTGATCCTTTGCGGGCGAATTGTGCGGACATGAAGTCCTGCTGTTGGCCGCCGCTGCTTGATTTGATTGCCAATTCGCACATGCACACACCCACACAAACACACACCACACGCACACGCAGGCACCCTTGAGAATGGCAGATTTCAACTTCGCACAGTTTTGAATTGCAATTGAAAGCCACCAGTGGCCATGCACCACCCCCCCCCCCCCCCCCCCCGCATTTGCCAAAGGGCTGAGTGCACAAATGCACCACCATCAGCCCACATCTCATTGCACTCCACTTGGCTGACATCGTTTGATGACCGTTGACCTTGAGACACGATATCGTGAATGTGTTTTCGGTCTTTGCGCTTATTCAACAGCGACTTTGCTTGATGCTTCCCGGTTGCAACAATGCATTGTCTTTACAATAGCACAGAAACTCTGTTTGCGTTGACTGGTGGATCTCGGCCGATTGGCTGATCGCTGACTTGAGTCCGCGCTTGCGCTCCCTGGTTCGGACCATCGCGGCCCTCCGACCCCATTTCAAGACCGGCCAAATTGGTCTGGTTGGTGCATTGGTCGTGCGTGTTGGCATGTACACTTACAGCGTCGGTGCTCCCCTCTTTACAAAGGCTCCCCCGGGTCGTAGCGTTGGTGATCCCCGACAGAGGCTTGCCAGATATTGAAGCCAGGCCACTATTCGTCGATTGGAGCTTGACACGTAATCCAGGTTGTTGCGTTCTCGCGTGCGAAGCGGGAGCACCCCTCTGTTCATCTCAATTGCTTTGACCAGCATGCGGCCAGTGACGTCTTCGGTCTACCATGGCACACTGACGTCGTCGCTGAGACAATGTGGGTTCCCTTTCTCTCCCCCTCTCCCCCTCTCCCCCTTTCCCCTCTCTCCACTCCTCTCTCCCTGTCCCCTCGCCCCTCTCTCCCCTTCTCCCTCTCTGCCTTTCTCCCTCTATGCCGGCACAAGGCTCCTGGTTCAAACCCTGCTACGGTCATGGAGCCGCGCGCTGGTGGAAATACGACGGCTCAGCACAAAACGACTTGACTGCACAGCATTGACTTGGAAGCTGAATCATTGTACCTCGTAGACCGGATCGAAAGTAGAAGCAAGGCAGGGGAAGTTGAAGAGTTGGAGCAAAAAGGCAAAACGAGAGCAGCAGACAGCAAGGATAGGACAAGCATGACATGGGCTTAAAGCTCAACACCGAGGAAGAAGACAGAAGCCACGAGAAAAAAAACAAGCAGCAGGACAACCGAGCCGAAGGCTGCCAAGGAAATAAGATAATGTGAGAGGCAAAAGCAATAGAAGGAGATGGAGTAGGACAAGAACCATCGGAATGAATCCAAGCAAAAGAAGCTGGGTGTTCTGGCGGATGAGTTACCGGGAGAATATCAGTGTCCGGGCAGGATGCTGGGTCAGATGTGTGAACAAGCGGCGGGAAGTGCAGCATCGTATGTCGTATTCCACAGACGTGTGTATGCGGCAGGGCTGTGGCAGGGTTAAGGTCCGGGGCTAGTTCGTGAAATTCAAGAAGGCTTCTGATAAGGCTCAAGTTGAGGGGCCATGTTCGAACTTGGGAGAGGGGTGACGCTGGCACTGAGAATGTGTGCCTGCTTCTGATCGTACTGGTGCTGGTAGTTGCTGCTAAAACTGCGAAGGATCATTTCGGCGGTGGTCACATTTCGTTACTTATGCATTCGTCTTCTGTTCAAAGGTGTGTGTGTGTGTGTGTGGGGGGTTGTGGTGCTTGTGATGCTTGTGATAGTTGTGATGGTTGTGGTAGTTGTGGTGGTTGTGCTGGTTGTGGTGGCTGTGGTGGCTGTGGTGGCTGTGGTTGTTGTGGTTGTGGTGGTTGTTTTTTGTTGTGGTGGTTGCTGTGATTGTGGTCGTTTTGGTGGTTGTGGTGGTTGCTGTGGTTGTTGTGCATGTGGTTGCGGCCGCCGTTGCGGTTGTTGTTCTGGTGGTGGTGGAGGTGATGATGACGATGATGATGATGATGATGTGGCGGTGGTTGCGTCGCTGATGATCGCTGGCGGTCTCGCTGTTGTGATTGGGTTTTCAAGCTTGGTCGGGCAATTGCGAGCGCTGATGGCGATGTGCTAGATTGGGATGTGATAGATTGGGCGAGTTTTCGTGATCGTCCCAGGATCCTCGTCGATGCTTCTTGCAGTGGCAGGAAAAGCAAGCGTGGATTTCTCGCAAGTATCCCGGAAAACCCGACTTGGTGCGAAATTTAAGGCTTACTGGCTTCCCGTACGTTCTCCCCTCCAGGCCAATCTCAGGCAAGTCACAAGTCAACTTTCGCCATCCGGTGTTACAAGATCACAAAGGACCGGATTCGCCAAGCTAACATGTATAGCATATAACATCACTTGAGACGCTTCAGATGTCGAGCTTTTGGATATCGACGTGTCGCCAGTCAGACGTCCAAGTCATCACATGGCGGGGTCGGTCTTGTCACTTTATCAGAAAGACAACCGATCATGCTTGAGAAAATTTGCTGGCAAATATCCACATAGTTGAAAACTCTGCGGTCGTGCCCTCCAACCGCCTCCAAGAGCACTCTCAAGTTTTCTGGGAGAGCGGGAAGCCAGCACGCTCTCAGTTTCGCTGCATTTCATGTTGTCCCGGTATGGTGTTGCTCTTCTCACTCCCCCTCCATCCGAACATTGAAGGAGCAACCACCGCAACAACCAGAGCAACCACAATACCGACAAAGCCGTCGCAGGACAGCGGCCTTCAGATGCCCCTATTGGCGCACAGGCCCTGGGCCTACATCTCCATCTCCACAACCACAAATGACGCCTGAATTCGGTCTACCCCCAGCCTGACACCGAAAATGTGCCTGACGCCGAAATTCGACGATTGACTCTTGGACAGATGGGGTGCCCCGATGCTTTCCGGATTCTGAGCGTAAAACTCTTATAAAACTTGAACTTCAAAGGAGCCTTGGACTGATGGGGCACCCTGGAGCCTTGGACTGATGGGGTGCCCTGAGTTTGATTCACAATTAGACTGGGTGCCCGTTGTTGAAAGAATCAGACCTGCTACAAATCCTGAACTCCGAGGATGGATCCTTGGACTGATGGGGCACCCATTGCTGAAAGAAATCAGAACTTTCACAAACCTTGAAGTCCGAGGATGTAGCCTTGGACAGACAACGAAGTGCCTATTGTTTGAAAGGCGGACTGCTAGAACTTCGAACGCCGGCACCCCGGAACTTAAATCAGAACCTGTATACACTCTGAACTAGGAAGATGGAATCTCCGACTGGCGGACACCCATTGTTTGATAATCACAACACCCAATATCTTGAACTACGAGGATGCAACCTGCTGGGGGCTTGGATTGATGGGGTGCCCTTGGTTTTCAAAGCTCTTCAAAGAATTGAACTCAGACTATGGAGCATTGCACTGATGATGTCAACATCAGGGACGCCCCATCAACCCACATCAGTCCAAAAAATGATGGACCCCCTGTGATTCTTTCAGGAAGTTCAAGGTTTGTAAGGGTTCAAGGTTCATTAGAGTTCTTTAGAGTTCTGATTTGACATGAAGAGCGCCTCGTCAGTCCCAGGCTCCCCCCTCGGACTTCGAGGTGTCTGAGAGTTCTGCTTTTTAAATCACTAGCACCCCATCAGTCCAGGGCTCCACACTTGGACGTCAGTTGGAGATCCAGGTTTCTAAGGGTTCTCACTCGGTAAAATCAGTGTGCCCTACCAGTCTCAGGCTCCATCCTCGCAGCTGAAGCTTTACCAAAAGTTATAGATTCTGACAAAATCAAGCGTGTCACATCAGTTCAAGGCTCGGTCCTCAGATTCTTTGCCCGAAGTTCAAGGCATAGGCCCGTCAGTCCGGGCTTTATCCCTGAAGCTCAAGCTTTAAAATATCAATCTTGCTTTAAATGATCGGGCACCCCTGTTTTGAAAGCAACACTCTTGGAAACCTCAAACTGCAAGGGTGGAGCTTCGCCGCTGCATATCCGCTTCGGGACGCAATTTCGTCTGGTGAATCGAGTTCGTCTTCGCAACCAAATCTCTTCAGGGCCGAATTTCGTCTTCAGGGTCGAATTTCGTTTCCACGGTTGAATTTCCGTTTTCCGAAGTTCGTCTTCAGGACCGAAATCGCGATTGAAGAGCATCCACGAGCCTGCAAATGTCTTTGGTGGGGTGATGAGGATTTTCGTCTTGGAGCCGAATTTCGTCTTCAGGGCCGAATTTCGTCTTCGGCGTTTGTGAAACCGAAGTTCGTCTTCACCCCAGTCTCGTCTTCAGGGCCGAATTTCGTATACTTCATCTTCGCTCGCAATTTGAGCTTCCGCCCCTAGCAAACAATTTCGTTTTCACCCTAAACCCTAAACCCATAAACCCTAAACCCCAAACCCTAAACCCGAGCTTCGTCTTCGCAGGGGACGAAATGGGGACCCGGCGAAAAAAGCCCCGAAGGCGAAGCAACCGTTTATGATTGGGGTTTGCTAAGTTTAAAGGTTCAGGGCTTTTAAGGTTTAAGAGTGTAGGGTTCAGGGTTTTTAGGGTTTGACAGTTTGTGGTTTAGAGGTTAGGGTTTAAGGTTCATGAGTTTGAAGTGGGGGCCTTGCCTTGAGAGTCAGATGAGGGTTCCTTAAAAAATGGCAAAAAAGGCTTGTTGTATAGGGGCCTGAACCATGAAAACAGGGTTTGGCGGCTGACAGATGTACAGTTGTATAGGAAGTGTATCAGGCGACAGGACGCGCAAACCCCAATCCTGAACTTCCTAGGCCGAGAACAGACAACGGATGCGTAATCGGAAGACTGCTAGGTCCTTAGAACCCCCCCCCCCCACGTTTATTCAAAACCCTGAACCCTCACTGCTCTGTGGGATTTCCTCAGGAATTCTCCAGCTTCCAAGCGGCTGGTCTGCATCGACACTTTCTGAAGAAGTTCCTGTCCAGGGCTTTTAAGGTGCTGTTCTTGGGGACTTCAGGTTTAAGATTATGGTTGAGGGTTGAAGGCCTCAGTTTACAAGTGGTTTTTTCGATGGCTCCCTATATAACTGGGCTTGGGAAAATTCGCTCAGGTTTTGGGCAGATGTTGCTTGAAGGTTTAGGGTTTTGGCTTTCGGAGGGCGCTTAGGTGAGACGTCCTACAGACTGTATTGCATTTTGAGGTTGGGCAGCTGGGTTCCATGAAGATTCGGATGATGGGGGTTCAGTGAGAAGTGAAGGCGGAAATCTTGAGCACAACTGCAAACCAGAAACCCATATTAACCGTAGTACTGAGCAGTGGACGGGCCTGGGGCCTAGGGTTCCGGGTTTAGGGTGTAGGGTTTACATTACCCCGCTTTACATGGTGAGCAACATCTAGCCTTTTAGCCATCCCGTCACAGAAAAAAGAATCCAAACCAACCGAAAGCCTGACCGAAAGCCCTGACCCCAAGTCAGAGCCCCCATCATAACCCATTATTCAATCAGACCTACCCCTGCTGAGTGCCTGCATGTGTTACACAAAGGGTTTTGGGTTCGGGGCTTGGGGTTCAGGGTTTGGGGTGTACTTATGGTCGGGTTTAGGGTTTAGGGTGCGGCGCCAAAATAAGCTAAACCACAAACCCTACGCAACAGGCCCCATAAACGCCTAAACTGAGAGGAAAAGGCCTGAGTTCCCTAAACACCCGACAAACGAAGCCACGACACCTGTACCCTCCAAAGCCTGCTTTTTCAGCTATAACCTCAGCAATTCTGGGTCATAGCTGAAAAAGATGGGTTTTGTAGGGTTCTGGTAAACCCGAACACTGAATCTCTGTAGCACCCCATAAAACACCAACTCTGCAAACCCATATATGACCTTACAAACACATGAAAACATGCCATGAACCCCAGTAGAGCAAGTATAAGAACCCGTACCAAAAACTCTATGAACCCATCAACAGATACTCGATCAAGCATTTCACAACTCTACAACCCCACCTAAAAACTACAACAACCCATCTTTAACCCTATACTTCCCTATAAAACCCACAAGCGCTGTATAAACCAACACAGCAAGCCCAAAAAGGCCCTTCTAGGCCTAATTTGGGGGAGTTTGCCTGCGTGGAAGCCTTCTCGGTCTCCAGCACCTGCACCAGATCCTGCAGCAGGGGTGGTTGAGCTTCTGAAAGTCTTTGAAAAGGGTTCTCCGGTTCGGGCTCCGGGTTCAGGGGTTTGGGGTGGGTTCAGAGTTTCGGCTTCCGGGGTACATGTGGGAGTTTCCGAAATTAGGGGTACCTCATTTTGGGGTCCCTATAATAAGGACCCTATTATTTAGGGTAAAATATTAGGGTCCCCTATTTTCGGAAACTCCCATGTAGATTTAGCCGTGGATTTAAGGGTGCTTAGCGGTTCCCTGATTGGTTGCCTGGTCTGTGGTTTGGGGTTTAGATTTTGCGGTTTAGCAGCGTTCAGGGGCTTTGGAGTTTGGGGAGTTTAGGTTTCAAAATTTAGTTCCTTGTAAGTTTTTCGGCAGACGTCGGTAAGAATTTCTTCAGTTCTATGGGGATACCGACGTACTCGTATACGTGCCCCGTCCCTGCAGGAGTCGAAACCCGGCAAAAGATGAAGGGAAGCTGAAGGTTTAGGGTTAAGTTAGCTTCAGGTTTAGGGTTTAGGGGCCTAGAGTTTGGGGTTGAGACCTTAAAGTTCAGGGTTTTAAGGTCTACGTGTTTGAGACTTAAGAGTGAGGCTTCCGGATTAGGATTTGGGTTTTAGGATGAATTAGTCTTTTGAAGGTTCTGGTTCTATGATGAGGTCTATAGGGTTTTTGGGTTTGGGGTTTAGGGTTTAGGGGGTTTTGTGGTTCTATGGTTTTGGGTTATACCGCTTCGGGTCGAAAAACCCTGCACCCTGCCGCTCGAGCCGTAAACCCCAGGCCTCATAGCGGCTTCAAAATGACTTGCGTGATGCCTGATGATATACTATGGTATACATACAGGGACTGTACAGTAAGCCCCATAAAGTTGAAAAACCGGATTCAGGCCAAATAGTGCTGGGACGCCCTATACATTACTCTTCAGGATTGAGGCTATTGGTCTTCTGCAAGTCGTTATGAATACCAAAATTCCCGCCTTACCCGAAGGCTTTTTTGGGGGTAGGGTGTCGGGTTGCCTGCTCGCTGTTCTGTCTTCCACGGACTCCGAAATCCGCCGGGTTCAGTGGGGGTAGGGTATCTGAATAAGGAACCCTGCATGTTGTAGGAATGTGCGTGATTCCAATAAACACAGAAGTCTTGTAGTACATATGTGACTATACTACAAGGCACCCAAAACCCTAAAGCTACGATAATAGCAGGCCTGCAGAGATTCTCGCGCGGGAGAGCTCTCCAGGACGGATGCGGAGCTGGGCAGAGCAAACGCTTCCGGAGCGGCTTCATAGGGGTCTTTGTACGAGCAGTTTAGGGGGTTTGGGTTATGCTGTCGATGTTCTTTCTTGTCACTAAAAGTTCGTGAATTGCGAAATGTCTAGCGTATACCCTAAGCCTTACCGTGAGGCTCGGCGAAAACGCTAAACTTACCCCTTCAACCCTAAACCTAACCCTGACCTTGACTTCAAATTCTCAAGCCCCCGGAGCCCTCCAGATTTTCAACCCCACAACCTGAGCCAACGGTCTGGAGGTTTGGTTTACATGCTTTTGAGTTTCCAGTTTGGGGTTTATGGTGTTCGGGTTTAGGGTTTAGGGTTTACAGTCTACAGTCGAGACAAGGTCTTAATATAGACACCTAAACAGGCTGCACAGACTTTTATATGGCATTATTCAGATTTCCTTCGCTGAGCCTCATCGTATGCCTACATGAGGGAACCCAGGAAAGCACTACTTGTACTTATCCAGATACCTATATACTTAAAAGTAGCTATCAAGAGAAGGGGTTGTAGGGTCAGACAGTCTTCCTTAAGCTCCCGTAACTGATTCAATTGAAAACCTGACAGGCCTAGCCTGATAATTCAAGCTGTTTTCAGTAAACTTTGCGGACATGTACAAGGGGTATGTGGCAGGGTTTGGCTGAGGTTCCGCATGTTCTGAATGGAGCAATTTCGGGGGTCCTTGCAATAGTAAGGGTCCGTAAGGCCTGCACCCTAAATCCTCAACCCGTTTCGGTGTCTTTTTCAAGCTCCCTTTAGTTTCTGAGGGCTTAACCGTCAACATCATAGGCTATGGGATCCGAATGTAGACCAGACAGTGTTGCAGATCCATATCAGAAGGATGCCCTCGGCTGGAGCCGTGCCTGTAGAACGAGCGATTAAGCAATAATTCCCGCACCCTTATACCCGAGATCCCAAGCCAAAACCCGACATATTCTAAAATGGAAGCCTGAGTGCTTACTCATGCTATTTCTGGGGCTCCTTACAAAAAATTATATACCAGTATACCATACCCCAAACCTGGTTGAAATGATCCAAGCTGACATATATACAAATATATATATATATATATATATACATACACATATATGTATATACACATATTTTTTCAACCTCAGATAGTAACCCATATTGGAAACTCTGTACACCCTTCTAATCATTCAGGCTTTCATACCAAAGCCCCCACATAACCCTACAAACCTTTTCTCAAGCCTGACATGCAACCTGATAACAAGAACCATAAGGTGATATTTGTACTACCAACAAGGACTATAAGGGAATAAATACTACCATCCACTGATGCAGACCGTTCGCTTATGATCCTCCGAGTCCGCTGCCTGGCTAGCGCCGACTTTGCCTCATGCTCTGCCTTCTCCACCTTGGCACAAAAGCTTCGAGGATTCTTCGGTTAAGGACTACCGCTGATTTTCTATACGGGTTGCCATTGACAAGGGCTCGTTTAGGATTCCATGCGGATTAGGTTTTGGGGCTGAGGGTGTAGGGCATTGGGCTTCCTGGGCTGAGCACTACTGTAAGGGTCACAAACACGGATCCAAAACGCATCCCATAGGAGTTGCTTAACAAAGTTACTACAATCTTTGGTTGAGGGGCAGGGGGCAGGCGCAGTGACCGTGGCAGCAGCAGCAGCAGAAGCCGAAGCAGCAGCAGCAGCAGCAGCAGCAGTCGTAAACAAATTAGAACAAGATGTAGAGTCAATACATTGGGGCCATCATCATCGCCATCGGCACAGACCAAAACGAAAGCACGAGAAAGAATCAGACCAACAACGAACCCCTCTCTTCCTGCATGCATCGACGCATGGCGAGTTCAGCATTTTGGAGGTCTGAATGTAGTCCGATACTAGAACATACACCGAAAACGTGGTCTAAGGCCTCCCTCGGCATTAAACCCGATAACAAACCTTGCAAGACCATGTAAAGCCTTTATCAAAATCTACCCGAATGCACATTTCGGACCTTAAGCCGCCCTGTGCGGAAATGGAACCCTGAAAGGCACCCGTAAAGGAGCCTAGATCCCTATACCCTAAACCCTGCGTGGGGGCCTTGATAAGTAGAATAGGGTCTTGGGGCCATTATGCTACAATTCTAATAAGGCGCCCCCAAAATAGTATAGTTAATTATTATACAATTATAATAAGGAAACCCCAAAATAGTATAGGTAATTATTAAGGCCCCTAGAATAGGGTCTCTGGCCTCTGCGATGGATGCCTGGATCTCATCCGTGACCTCGCGGGAGGGCGCTGCGCAGCGCATTGGGGGGACTTAGGGCCGGGCTTTGGGCTTAGGGTTTGGGGTTCAAGGGTTTAAGGGTTTCAGGGTTTAGGGTTTAGGGTTCAAGGGTTTAAGGGTTTAAGGGTTTCAGGGTTTAGGGTTTAGGGTTCAAGGGTTTGGGCTATTAGGGTTTAGGGTTCAATTGTTTGAGGTTTAAGGTGTTTGGGCTTTGGGTTCTTGTTTTGGGGGACTTGGTTTAAAGGTGTTCGGTTTGGTGTCTTGGCTTTGGGCTTTGGGGGTCTTGGGTCTTTGGGATCTGGGTGTAGGACGGCTTCCGAGACTTCTCCAACACTGGGGAGATCTGATTGTGCTTGAACTGCCCAGACCGCCGGGAGGATCTAAAAAGTAGATCCCTTAATGGGGGTTCCTATCTAATTATAAAGTGGCCTTAGTAGTATAGGGCCCTAAATGTGAAGATCCCTTAATGGGGGTTCCTAGTTAATTATAAAGTACCCTTAGTAGTATAGGGCCCTAAATGAGGGGATGTCCTTTCTGGATCCTCCCGGGGGTTTGGGTGACAACGCTTGAACGGCGGGATTCCCAGGAATCTTAAGTTTTCAGACTGCAGCCTACCGCCTGAAAACCAGTAAAAGCCGTAAACCCCCTAAAGCCCCGACCCTGTACCTTCCCCAGCAACAAAACACGAAAGATGCAAAGTACGGGAGCATGACTACTCCGACTCAAGGCTTAGCTAGCTATCAACAAACTGCTGTGGATGTAAAGGTATGTGGCATAACCCAATGCAGCGCACTACTGGCCAGATCATAGCGATACTGCTGTGTTGACATACTTATAACCCTACTTCTCACTGCCTGAAGAGTACGAACAAGGCCAAGAGCAGATCGCCATGCATGAGCGTCTTGGAAAATCAGGGGATCGGAATACAGACCCTAGGCAGGGTCCTTGCTATCATTGCGTCCGGAAAGCGACGCTAACTTTCTGAAAAACAACGTCAGGTTTGTTATGCTATAATCATACTAAAGGACCCCCAAACTAGTGTAGGCATTTCTTGACGCCATTATATAAATTCTTTGAAGACCCCATCAGTCTCAACACTCTCTGCAGAGCCTTGCCAAGATCGTTTCCACCATCGCCTGGGCGACTTCTGGGCACTTAGGGTTCAGGACTGAAGTAGACGGTTTCAGGATTTACCGTGGGGTTTACGCTTGATCTGGAGTTTAGGATTCGGCCGAGGGTTTTGGGATGCGTGGGATCCTGAAGATTGGGTAGTTACGCCGATTCTGCAGGACCTCCAAAGTGCACTTGTTCGGCGCTGTGGTGGTATGTTTGGAATGTGGTATCCCCGTAGACTATTGCGAGGTTCTGAATAAGGTGTACTAGTCAAAGGAGGGGATACTGGAGTCCGGGGGGTAGCTTCTGTTTCCGTCTTTCGTATGCTACATGGAGAGGTCCGAGGTTTAAGATGTGATGCTCGGCTTTGAAGCTTAAGCCTTCACCGGAATTGCAGTTTAAGGCCGGGTCTAGCTGCTAGCCTTTAGCGCTCACTCGACAAAGGTCATCATCCTGTGCAAGATACTTGCTTTTAGTAGGGCTTTGGGGGTTTGGGATTATCGGGTTCCGGGTTCCGGGTTCAGGGTTTAGGGTGTTCGCTTCTCCGGCAATTCCCAGGCCGCTGTGTCACCCGAAGGTGCCCCAGCAACCACGGAACCAAAACGAGAGCATCGGCCAAACCCCCAAAGACCCCTGTCAGCGGCCAACATCGGATACAAGACGACCCAGGGTTTAGGGTTTAGGGTTTAGGGTTTTAGGGTTTAGGGTTTAGGGTTTGGGGCACAAGACAAGAACTAACTCACTTCCAAGCCTAAACACGCAGTGAGCCCTAACCTCCCTTTCCAAAAAGACATAGGAGGGAATAACAATTGTTACTTAGAGGATCATGGGACTTAGTAAGTAGGTTATAACTGGGGTTATAAGTCCCCTAACTGGGGTTAATTATCCTAATTATAACCTAAGTATAGCCTTACTTATTAAGTCCCATGAGCCTTCAAGTATTGCCAGTCAGAATAATCAATAGCAGTAGTAATAGCAAGGGCAGTAGCAACAGCAATAGCGAGAGTAACAGTAATAGTGATATGTGCACTGCTAGTAATACGAATTAGTGATAGTAATCGTAATCGTAGTAGTAACAGTAACAGACATAGTACTAGTAATAGAAGTAGTACCTACTATCAATTGGGTGGTTGTCAAAATTAGGGTCCCTTTTTGGGTCCTTACTATAGTACGGCGCCTAATATTTAGGGTACCCAAAACGGGCCCCTAATTTTGACAACTACCCAAGTAAAACAATACAGCGTATAACACTAAAACAGACCCTAAACCCTAAACCCTAAACCCCCAAACCCTAACAGCACTGCTTATAACACGAGGGCCGCTCGATCTGGGAGACCTGGCCTGCTTCAACGGACTGCGCCTGCATGGAGGTGCTGAAGGGCGCTTTCGCACTTCGTCTGAATTCTTTTTAGGGTTTAGGATTTAAGGTTTAGGGTTTAGGGTCTAGGGGCTAGCAAATAGGGTGTAGGGTTTAGGATTTGGGGTTTAGAGTTTAAGATTTAGGGTTTAGGGCTTAGGATTTAGTGTTTGAGGTTTAGGACTTAGGGTTTAAGGTTTAGGGTTTCAGGCTTAGGGTTTAGGGCTTAGGGTTTAGGGGCTTCGGTGGCATTCGTGGCATAGAAATCGTTTGTCGCTCTTTAGGGCTTGTTCCGGTGTTGTCTAAGGATTTGGGTTACGATACTGTAAACATACAGCTAAGAACCCTGGAGGAATAGCATGGTAAGTATTCAGCTTCCATATTAAAAACCTTCAAGTCTTAACCCCAAAACCCCAAGCCGTTTCGCTTAGGTTATTTGGGGATTTACGGCCTGGAGCTGTGAGGGCTTCGGGCCTTAGTAGGTTTGAAACTGATCGTTCTTTGGGCTTGGTGGTGTCTAAGGGGTTCATAGTTCATAGGAGGGTTCTAGAGTGCTTCATCGGCCAAGAGGCCTAGTACGTCTTTGGGTGGGGTTCAGGGCTTTGGGGCTCAGAGTTGAAAGCCTTCGGGTTTAGGGCTCAGAGGTTTAGAGGCTGGGATTCTGGCCGCAGGTCCGAGATTGTAGGGCTTCAGGGCTCAAGGGTTCGAGTCATAAGGCGTGGCCACTGACGCCTGGAAGTGGGCCCTAAACCCTAACCCCTAAACCCAAAACACTGCAGCCCTTTTGTCGAGCTCATCCTGTTGGCAGCCGCCGCGCTCAGGGGAGGGTTCAAGTTTCAGTGCTGTTGTACAAGCACTAGCACTAGTCACTAGTCTAGGACTTTTGGCAACAGTGGTGGTAGCAGTTGTAGCAGTATGGTAGTAGGCGTTGTCATCGCTGTCGGTCGTCGTCATCGCCGTCCTAGTCGTGGTTGTCGTGGTCGTCGTGGTCGTCGTGATCGTCGTGGTCGTCGTGGTCGTCGTGGTCGTCGTGGTCGTCGTGGTCGTCGTGGTCGTCGTGGTCGTCGTGGTCGTCGTGGTCGTCGTGTGGTCGTCCTGGTCGTCGTGGTCGTCGTCGTACGTAGTAATCGTCGTCTTCGAGGAGGTGGTGGCGGTGGTGGCGGTGGCGGTGGCGGTGGCGGTGGCAGTGGCGGTGGCAGTGGCGGTGGCGGTGGCGGTGGCGGTGGCGGTGGGTGGCGGTGGCGGTGGCGGTGGCTGTGGCTGTGGCGGTGGCGGTGGCGGTGGCGGTGCAGGTGCTGGTGCTGGTGCTGGTGCTGGTGCTGGTGCTGGTGCTGGTGCTGGTGCTGGTGCTGGTGCTGTTGCTGCTGCTCTGCTGGTTCTGCTGGTTCTGCTGGTCGTGGTGGAGGTGGCGGTGGTAGTGTAGCAACAGCAGCAGGAGCAGCAGTGGTTGTAGTCGTCAACATCGAGGTGGTGTTGAAAGTTGGAAATTACAACGGGTCGGAAACCAGAAAGATCCATGGTTAATAAGAAGAAGGCCAACATGTCGTGACTGTGAAGAACAGATGTAACAACAAAACAACAGTAGATACAATTAACGGAAACCTCAACCCCCGCCGAGCTCGGGCTCCGGCTAGGGCCTCAGGAGAAGCCTTGACGCTAAGAAACTCTCGGATGATAGCAAAATACTACATATGATCTCCTTGTTATGTAACTTAACTTAAACTCCTCAGCAAGAACCCAGGTTAGGCTATCAGCGTGTGGGGCTATATCAGGGTTGTAGCGATGATATAAGGCGTCAGTAGACTTCAGTGATCCGTAGATTAAAGACCTGAGTTGAGGGTTCAGGATTTTGTGTAGCCGTGGGGATTTGGGGTACAGGATTCTGCTTAGCTGCGGGGTGTTTAGACCTTCGGGGTGTACGTGGGGTCTGGAGAATTCCTGAAACCATAGCAGAGAAGCTTCCTGCATCTGGGGTTCAGGGTTTAGGATTACGGGTTTAGGTTTAGGGCTTGGGGGTTTAAGGGTACCTATGGTTTAAAGCTTGATGCAAACTGGAATCTCTGGTGCACTCAGAAGTTGGTGACAGTGCTGTCAACCACGGAACCAGCGGCGGAGGAGGTGATGCCATAGAGGCGCTTCAGCTTCTCGCGATAACCTCTTCAGGCTTTAGGGTTGTTTCCTCAACTAAGCAGCTTCCATACTTACTATGGACCCTTGGTGTAACAACTTAAATTAGGGGTGCGGCCCGAAATCCCTAAACCCGACACCCTGAACCGCAAGCCTACACAAACATTAGCATGCAAAGTGCTACTTCGAAACCCTTAGCCTCCCGAACCCTCCAAACACCCAAGCCAAACCTAAACCTGATTAGTATGGGAGTTTCCGAAAATTACATAGGGGTATCTTATTCTGGGGTCCTTATCATGAGGATCCTACTATTTTTCGGTACTACATACATCGAAACCACTGACCCCCAAGTCCCAAATCCCAAACTCCCTAATATCTTGCCCCGCCTAGGTCCTCAGCAGAGGCTTCAAGGTTTCGAATTTCAGGTTTTAAGGTTTTCGTGCTTGGGGTTTAGGGTTTAGGGTTAAGGGTGCTTGGGGTTTAGGGTTTAGGGTTTAGGGTTTAGGGTTTAGGGTTTAGGGCTGAGAGAGTTTTGACGTTTGGCGACAACAAAGGTCGCTCACAAAAAAGCACCAGGGTTGAGGGTGTTTCATAGTTGCTGAGTCCATAAGCCCCCCGTAGTGTGTAGTTTAGTTTTGTAGTGGGTAATATTATCCCAAAAAGTGTAAAGTGTATCCACTCAGCTACTAAGGTTTAGGGTTTGGGGTTGAGTTTTGGGGCTTACGACTGACTGTGCTGGCTCTAAGAAGCACGACCGCTACACAACCTTGACCTGCGAATACCCGTGCTTCCGCAATCCTACTTGAGGTATCAGGGGATTGAGTAAGTGAGACTATGAGTGCTTTCATTGGGGCCATAAGTAGCCCATAGATACCTTATCCAAAACAACACCTACTGAGTCCCATGATCCTTCAATCTCTAGACCCCCAAACAACCCTAAAGAACCCTCCTTCAACCCTTTGAATGTAGGAAAGAACTGTCGATACTAAGTCTCCCCCATGACCCTTTGAGTAAGCATTGCCCTAGAGCCCCGAGTCCCCTAAAAGCACCGAAAGCCACATAGAGCCCGCCTCAAAAGCAATACTTGGAGGATCAGGGCGCCTGGCAACTATGGTTAATCAATCTTACTTGAGCTATAACTGCTTACTTAGAAGCCCACATCAGGTACCAAAAACACCCCTACTGTCTAAGTCCCTTGATCCTTCTTTAAGAGCCATAACTACTTACTTACAAGCCCGCTTCAGGCACAAAAAAAACCTTGCTGTATAAGCCTCCCTGGATCCTTTAAGCAACCCTTGTGCAGTCAGAGCGGCGTGGATCTTTTTCGGCCTTCTCCCTCCGCCGAGGCGTAAGACAAAGAGAATCCTGCTCGGTCTGTTTTAAGAAGAAGGGTTGAGGCTTCAGGGGGGGCTTCAGTGAGGGTTGAGGGTCTAGATGGCGAAGCAAGTAGACAGGGGGTTTCGGGTGCCACTACACTGTAAGAAGATTCGCGGGGGGGAACCCTTAAGACACTATATCTTTGTCTTTCAAGCCCCTATACTCTGCTCACAGACGGTGTCCACCGAGAACAAAGGTCTACGTTTCGATGGCTTGAGAGTTATTGCGGGTTGAGGATCTAAGTTAAGGGCCGTAATAATTGGAATAGGGTTTTGGGACCCATTATACTATAACTATAATGAGGAACCCCCAAGATAGTATAGGCAATTGCTAAGGCCCCTATGTTGTTCGAGGTCCCATTAAGTCTATACTGAACTTAGAACCCTAGCAAAAACTTTAATTTTAGCTGTTTCTTAGGGATTATCATAACCAAAAAGTAAAAAATATTTAAAAAATAACCCTAAGGTAAGTGTCTGAAACTCCTGAAAAAATGCCCCTCCCGATTCCGCACGCGCCCAGGCCGAGGATTCTGCACTCTAGGGCGGTCTGATCTTGCAAAGAACCCTTATGAACAACTAGGATACCCAGTAACCTAAGAATTAAAAGGCCTCTCTTTTTGGTATTGGGTAACTTTATAAGGAACCTAGGACTACAAAAAGGGAATAAGGGTACTACTGGGCATCCTAGACAAAGCAAAGCAATGCTCTTCAGTGCGTTGTGTACAGATCCGCAGAGACCCTCCGAATTTTACATCGAAAGCTTCACCCTCCCCCAGCCCTAATCCCAAGCCAACAAAAGCCCCCAGCATAACGCTCCTTCACTTGCAAGGATCCTCAACGAGTTGCCCTGGTTTACAAACTGCAGACCCCTAGCGCGAAAAGCCCGATAAACAATCCATAGAACCCTTCTCGAAAATTTACAGCAAACCGTTTAGAAGCCTTCTAGAAACCGTAGGCTGCATGGGAAGACTAAGTCTTATAGCAGGCCTAGAGACCACTCCGCCCTCCCTCGGGCCAGAAACGCGCGATCGGACGAAGACAGCTCCGACGATGCTCGGCTTGGCTCTGCCTGCCGTACCGAAGGGTTCGGGCTTTAGGGTTTAGGGTTTAGGGTTTAGGGTTTAGGGTGAAGTCTAAGGCTTCAGGGCTTTTGGGGGGCTTTTGGGGCTTTTGGATGTGGGTTTGGGGTTTCGAGTTTAGGGGGTGTTTTAGGCCCTGAAAGGAGGGAGGCTTATCAACCAGGTGTCTACATCTCGCTCGAGGATCAGGTGTGAGGGGCAGAGCCTCCAAGACCAAATTAAAGGAACAATACGGGACTCCTCACACGTGGGGGATCCATCAACTCAATTCAGGAATGCAGCTTAAACAGTAATGTCATCCTTAAACAGGAATGACATCCTTAATATGAACACGGGCAACTTCCCTGAGTAATACTCTCAACAAACGATACACCCTGGGGGGGGGGGGTCTACATTGATTTTCGGGTCTGCTGTTTGCCGA